ACCTGAGACAAGAAGGGCGTGTACCATGTCTTGACCAAGGCTACAAGCTTGTCCTTGTCTCCCCCGGTGCGAGCGATGTCCTCCTTTCGGGCCTTGTCCGCCGCCGTTCGAGCCTGCGACGATAACGACAATAACGATAACGAAACAACACCAGCAGTCGTCAACCTCACCATAAGAGAGCACCAACAACGTGGACATCACCCACGCTACCAGCAACGTCACCAACAAGAGCAACAGCGGCAGCAACAACAGCAAACGAGAATCAACCTCTTTAACTCACCGGCGTCTGAAACCTCTACTTCTTAACTCCCACCCAGGTTCTCTAACGCCCAACGCTACCCCTGACCTCGGATAGAGCTGGCGCCCCTTACTGCTGGCATCGCACCTCTTCCTTCATGAACTCTAGAAGCAGAGGGGCGTCCCACTGCTCCCACTCACGGGGCCCGGCGGTAGCAGCGCGGCTACCGTACCCTACCCCCCCCCCGCCGGGGGCGGCGGGTATGGCGGTCTCCGCGGCAGCCTCGAGCATGTCGCCGAACTTTTCCATGAACGTCTGCAGTTGTCAATTTTTTTGTTGCAACCGTGAGGGACACACACAGCCGTTGGCGAGAGTGTAGGGGATAAATCACAACCAGACGCAAACAACAAAAAAAGCCGGTGGTGTGTGCTTACAGGGTCACGATACATGTAGGCCGTGCACAAACTACAAAAAAAAGTACGTGGTGGATGCAAGGGAGATATGGGACCCATAAATCTACGATTGTACGTGTAGCATACGGTTTTGGATGGCCGGACACGCTACGAGAGTTCGATGCAAGCGGGTTATGGGAGCGATTCATCTACGTATGCACGCGTAGAAAGACGGTTTTGGATGGACGGACGAAAGACTACGCTAACTTAGCACAAGGACCATGACAGCAGCAGCGCAACCAGCTTGCAACTACTGGAACACGACGACGCACCCCGCAAACACACGCTACCGTACCGCAAACACATATGGACCGCACCTTCTTCTTCTTCGCAAGGTTACCGGAGCCGCCGGATGGTGCTGCCGCCGTCGATGCTGGCTGCTCTTCTGCCAACACGTCGGACTTGACAGACTTGTTGTCGCTGCCTGTGGAAACGTCTCCCCCTTCCGAGACGATGCTGCCCGTCGGCGCAGGCATCAACCTGAACATCGTCGATATTGTTGTTGTCACTGCTACTGGTGTGATACTGCTTCTGTGTATTTAAGTGATACTGCTTCTGTTGTTGTTGTCGTTGTCGTTGTCGTTGTTGTTGTTGTTGTTGTCGTTGTGGTCACATCAAAAGCTATCCTGGCCGCCTGTGCATAGTTCTGCCATCAAAGGTCTCTGTGGTCGCGACCACCCAGAAAAACGACCATCCTCCCGTCATAGCCACGCAAAGGCATGAAAACAAAAAAAAAACACACACACACCACAACCAACACCCACCTAGATAGCGGGCCCCCACTGGCCCTCCGCCCAGACGGCGTGCTCGGCGAGCGCAAGCTGGTGACGCTGGCCCCGCTCCCCTCCCGCTTCCTCTGCTCTCTAGTAAACCCCACGAGCTCGGGGCTAGCGCTCTCCTCGCGCGTCCCCGCTCTCCCACCCGAAAAGGCGTTCCTGTTGTTGTTAGTGGTAGTGGTGGTGGTGCTGACACCGAGGTTGAACCCGGACCCTGAAGAACCAGTGGCGCCAAGAGACGTTCGCCTGGGCAAGACCAGCCGGGGGGTGCCGCCGCTGCCGCCTCCATTGTCGCTGTCGAAGACCGCCACTCCCCCTTTCAGGGGAAACAAAACCGTTGCGGAGGGTGGTGAGTGCAAGTGACAGCTGGCTGTGGGATGGAGAACGGCCACAACAAAGTCGTCACAGCAACTCTGCCTATGGTGCAACGGGAGGCTAAATAGTTCTTCTTCGGCATGGAGAGCGGCCACAACAAAGTCGTCACAGCCAAGTCTGCCAGTGGTACATTATGTCTTCAAAACTACTTTTCTTTCGACTGTAAGTTCGGGCTCATATTACCCCGTAACAAATGACATCCGGGTCTGTCTGTGGCGGTGGTAGGGGGGGGTTATTTTGTGTCGTAGCTCCACGGTAATTTTTCCAAGTAAGCAAACATGCTGGGTAGAGTATAGAACTGGTCAAATTGGGTTGTACGGTTAGAGTCTGTGTGCCCCCTCCCTGACCTTGATTCGTACGAACGTAACCTTACTTTCTTTGCGTAGGCAGTTCCCACCCTCACCTCTCTCGCTGCTGCTGCGCAACAGCCTCCCAACGTTCCCGCGATGCGTCGAAGAAGGAGACACCCCGCCAGTTTCGCCGCTACCACCACCACCACCACCACCACCACCACCACCACCACCACCACCACCACCACGACCGCTGCGGCGGCGGCTTACGTGCGGGAGAACCGCCGCCGTAAGGCCATCTGCGGGGCCCTCGGCCGTCGCTTTCGCGCGAGAAGCTTGAGCCCACTGCTGCTGGTGATCAGACAACTGGGGAACAGAGGCAGCCAAGGCGCGCGCGCGCGCGCACAGCGACAACAAAAGAGTTGAATGCATTAGGAATGTGGGTAGGTTCAAGCACAGCTGTTGGCAGCCGGAGACATGCTTGAAACGAGCACGCCGGCGAGGCCATTCTTGTTCATTTTCTCTCTCGTTCTTGTACCACATATTTTTCGCTTCGTGGGAAACCCGGGGACGGGGCAGTCTTTGCCGGGTCTTACCACTAGTTCGCCGGATGGCTTTCTCTTGGCTGAACACGTTCCCGGGACAAAAAAAGAGCCAGTTCTTCGCGACTTTAAGCGTCCACAGCACGCAGGTGCCACGGATGTCTGGCGAGCTTCGGGCATACACCGATGACCCTTCTGCGTGTCCTTTCGAGGCCAGAAAAAAATGTTCACCTTTGTACAGTACCGCCGGAGAACACGACAGCTACTTGTAACGTCCAAGCGACCAAAAACATGGTGATCACGCAAGCTCACCTGCGAAGAGTCCGACACGGCGGAGTTCATAGAGAGCGACCGCCTTCGTGGGAGTGGGGAACCCGGGGATGGAAGGGGAGCATCCCCGGACATGCGGGCGGGTCCGGGCGACGGCCACGGCATGATCCGTGGGGATGGCAAGCGTTTCGACCTGATGTTTTCGATTGTTGGCGGTGGTGGAGGGGTTGAGAAGAGGAAGGAGAGGGCTGGATCAACAGCGATAATATTGGCATCGTTCTCGACCTGCATGTAGGTGATAAGTCGTAAGGGTAACCGAGCAATTAATAGCGTCTTTCGGTTGTTCCCGAAATCGCGAACACTGATGCTCGCAGCTTCTCAACCAATCACCCGCCCTTGTTCCCAAAGGGACTTTAATGAGAATCCCTTGACACGTTTTTCTTTGTCGTATGCATACGGCATGCAAGGATCTTTCGTCTGGCGGGTCTCCCTGCTGACGCTCCCGCAGCTGCTGATTTCTCCTCCTCCCCAGCTATCTCTGAAAAGGCCGACGGCACTATGTTCAACCACAACCAACCGCCTCACCGAAACTTACCAAGCACTCACCCTGACATTGTTTCGTCATTTCGCACGAATACAGTATAACAGCATAACACCATATACCAGAGGGATCTTTGTCACCTGGCAGATCTCGGTTCCGCCGCTGACGCTCTCGCCGCTGCTGATCTCTCCTCCGCAGCTGCTGCTGCGGCCGGCTTGCCGCTCTCGGCCGGGAGATTGCCACGGTCGGGGGTGGATTCACCGCGTCTGCCGTCCTCCCGCCGTGATCCGGGTCGTCGTCGCGGGGTAACATCACCCACGTCGGCATCCTGACCATCATCACCGTCAACAAACACGGAACAGGATACAGTGGGGGGGGGGGCTGTTTAGTGCCGGAATATGCCCAGAGAGTTTGCTTGCACTATACGGGACACAGGGACTATGTAAAGTTCAGAATGACTTGGAGGTTCAGTCCGTGCCAGCCGGCACTATACCGGGTACCGGCCGTATTCGATCGGCACGAAACAACCCCCCCCCCACTGCTGCAACACGTGTATCGTGATCCGGTAGCAGCAGCAGCAGCAGCAGCAGCAGCAGCAACAGCGGTGTCACAGCAATGTTAGAGCCGAGCAAGTAATGACACAAACCATGATCCGACCGTGGGGGGCGCATCATTCCTGGAGGAACATAACCAACCGGTACGGTAGTGTAGATGTAATGTAGATTTCCACGATGGATTGCCGATTGCGAGGAATCTTTTAGCCAAACGATGGCACAAAAGACACGTTCCGAGAGGGATTGTCGCGAGCATGCCAAGAGATACAAACATACGGTGACGGTGAATAGTAATAGGAGTAGCTTTTGCAGAACTTGTACCAGCTGTTACATCGGGCGACTGTAAATCGTCACGGGGGGTGAGTGCCACGAGATATCCATGGTAGAGAAGTGTGACGCTTGTAGCAAGACACAAAAAATCGAATGCAAGCTAGCAACGTGATTGGGAAAGGCTACATAATGGAAGCTAACGGCCTTTCTCTTCTGGTCCGCAGGAGGACAAAGCTCGGGGTTGCAGCAAAAAATAATACACACAGAAACCTTGTGAGTGGGTGTGGCAACAAAAACTCACGAAATTTTTATTTTTTTTATTTTTCGAAAGACACAGCTACAACTACCGCGGGACGACGGCGGTGTTAAATTTCATTCAATCGCGATCTTTTTTACTTCTTATTATTTTTGGTTCTGAGGAGGACATCAATAACGGGTGCGTCCAACACCCGAACAAGCACCACGGCGGCGTTCACAGAAAAGCTACACAAAACTCAACGGCAACATCACAAAAAAAAAACGCAAGAAAAGGTAACGAGAACCCAATCGTCGGCGCGGGACACGTTTTCGGGGAGAGTCTCCGACGTGACGATTCCCTGTGAAAGCGACAAGCTATAAATCCGCACCAGGTTCCCTGTGAAAGCGACAAGCTAGACTAGAAACACGCACCAGGTTCCCTCTGAAAGCGACAAGCTAGACTAGAAACACGCACCAGGTTCGGCGACACGAGTGTCCTGAAGCTGCTGGTGATTGCCATCCTTCCCCTGTCCCAAGAACGCCTTCTCGAAGACGAAAGCCGGACAGTCGGAGACGATGATGACGACGTCAACGATAACGAATCGTTCGCCGGGCCTTCGTGAGGCGGGTCTCTACTCTCGCCCTTCTCCTCCTCCTCCTCCTGCTGCTCTTGCTTTGAAGCCCCTGTCGCCGAAAGGACGAAGGGGACGATGGCGTGATGGCGGGCCGTCATCTCAAAACCGCAGCAGGAATGCGAGCCCTTTCAGCACCGGGGATTTCTATTCGCTTGTGTGTTCGGCCGATGCTCTACTCTGCGTTGTTGTTAAAAAGTTGTCGTTGTTTCCAGAAAATTGAGAAACCAAGTAATAAGATATGGTACTTAAAATAATAATGCGATGTCTTTTCTCAACACAAGTTGCGATACTTTACGAGGTTGTCATTGGTCAAGCATGATAGAGTCGGGAGTACGCACGTTTTGTGTTGATTTGTGCCGCTTCATGCCTGTCATCGGTACTCTCCCCCGCCAGGCGCGTGGCATGCGCACCCCGTAAAATGGGAGGAAATACGGTGCTTACAGGCTCGTTGAACCTCTGAGTTAGACGGTACCTTCACGCGCAATCGCTACATGATAGAGCCGAGGACATAATACGTGCTCAAGTAGAACTCGGTCGTTGAACCTCTGGTTTCGGCGGGTATGTTCACTTGCAATCTGTAGATGACGGTAAGGAGGACACAATATTTGCTGAGAGCTCGTACCTCTGATGTCGACCATTGCAATGACGTGCTATCGGTAGCCTAGATGGTGGAATGGAGGACAAAATGTGTGCCGAGAGAGGGACTCCAGCGCATCCGATGTCCTCCATTCCGATTGCACGCGAACGTCACCGTCGGAGTCAGAGGTTCAACGAGCCTCTCAGAATTCAATATCTCCTTCCATTCTACGGGGTCCGCATGCCACGTGCTTGGCGGGGGAGGGTACCGGTGCCAGGCATGCAGCGGCACAAACCAACACAATGTGTGGATGCTCCCGAGACTGTCTTGCTTGACCAATCAAAAACTTCGGAACACTCTATAAAGTAGAAAACCACTTCACAATATAGAAACAACGAACACTCCACAACAACGGATCACGTCTATGCACCACATCATGTACCAACGACGCCCACAGGGAACGGTAAGACAGAAATTCTGAAGCGAGCCACAGAGCAAAACCTCGCGGTGTCTCAAGCATGGTTTGGTCGGGAATCACAAATCATGTGTCAAAGCTTCAACGAGATGTGTGTATTGTGTGTGTTTGTGTCGAAATCTTGGTGTCGTCGCGTTGCCGGCAACTGCCTGTGATGCACGCGCATATGTGTGCGGATGGCTCAACCAAGCTACATAAAGTCGATGAGATATATAGATACAACATGGTTGCAGCTGCTTTGTTCTGATCTGTTCTGCTCTTGTGGTGAAGCCCTTGAAAATACAAAAACCAGGAAATGCCACCATCCTCTTTCCCTCTGGTTACATGAATAAACGAATAAACTACCCTTTGCATATGATCGAGAGGGTGGTTGTTTGTTTCGACGACGCATAAAAAACCCCAGGTGTTTACCCCCCCCCCCCATAATCCCGCTAATGGCATTCTACGGCCCCCCTCGGCGCGGTCGAGCAGTTTGCCCCCAATTTCCCGCCAATATCACTCTCCCAACTCCGCTATTGTCTTAAGGGCGCGGGGCGGATCGCAGTACTTCCTCTTCAAAAAAACAGGAAACGCCTGGAAACGCCTGCATATCTCGGTTTTCCAAAGTCTAACTCCAGTACGAAACTACCATCGTAAATTAACCGTCCGCAGCGGTCGCTTGTGTACAATGTTAGTAGCTGAGGTTGTACCCCTTGCGATACACTACAGACTAGCGGTCCGCGATTTTCCAAACGATCCTTCTATCATCGAGTTCGGTGAGCTACAAGCTAGATTTTTGAAGCTGCTGTGCGGTCCAATTTTGAAACGCTTCAAGCACACGGTGAACACGAATCACCGCCCATGTGAGTGTATGGGGCCGCGAACTTCAGCGCAGCTCTTCCCTCACATATCCAGCTGGTCGCCATTGTCGATTTGAATGCCTAGGGTCATGTATATGCATGTCCAGCCTTTAGGCAAAGGTGCTTGAAGCGTTTCAAAATTGGACCGCACAGCAGCTTCACAAATCTAGCTTGTAGCGAACACAATGATAGAAGGACCGGTTGGAAAATCGCGGACCGCTCGT